TACATGCTGCCTGCATCAAATTAAATGAAATTAATACATTCCTTCTATTCATTTTCACAAACAAAAATTTTATCTTCGACAAATATTTTTCAGTAATAATTTTTTGTTTTTTTTTTCAATCAAATTTCAGATTAAAAATAAACAAATGGTCTGGAGACCCAGTTTTAAACATCTGACGTTCCGCGGTTCCATCCACACCGCAGACAAATATTGGAGCATGGTCATTCGCAGAACTGAACAAAACGAAGTGTCCACCATTATATAACCATGATTCAATTTCATGAAGATTAACTTAAAAAAAAGAAAAATAAAGAAGCAAGCCACACACATAAACACAGAAACAAACATACTCGTACACACACACATATACATATGTATATGTATATATATTTATATTTCCATTCATAGACACACAAATTGATGAACTGACGGATTGATAAAATGCAAACACATGCGTGCGTGTGCGTGCACTGATTTGACAACCAATTATTATCTGCCCTACAAATATTAAGTGAAAACAAAAACGTGCATGAATTCACATTTATGGAAATCGCTTGTTGCTTTGGCTTTAAATTATTTAAAAATAAATTCAATATAGAATTGTTAATGATAAATTAAACTTAAGTTATTAATGATGAAAAGGAAAAACCGTGGAAATAGGAATTCTAATATATTTAATCTATAAAATTATAATATGTACTATTTGCTATGTACCGAAAGTGATTCGTTGGCTCGATTTGCTTGTCAGATGAGAGATAAAAGAAAATGAATTGTTTAGATTCTCAGGCAAGGCTCAGTTAAAATACAAAAGAAAAAAAAATGAAATGTAGAAAGCCCACGGGTGGAGTGAGCAGAGATAAGGATATCCATTTGGTTGGAGACGATTGTGTCATGCCATGCGTGGAACGATGATGATGGTGGAATGATACTGATGGAGCTGATATGACGATGGAGATCGTGATGATGATCACCATGATGATAATGTTGATAAGAAAAAAAAGATGTCGATATAGTTCTGGTTTGTGATAGTGATTTATCAAAATATTTATCAACAATGCTACTTTCACTACCTGATAATCTGATGAGAAACTTGTGATGGCCTCATCATAAACTGCTTCGCATCAAATAGATTTTCATGTCGCATGTCTAACGACAAATTTTTAGCAATCTTTTATTTTAAATTTACTCACTTTTATTTATTTTCACTTCACCTTAACCTCGTTTTTTAAATTTTCGACTCGCGAACTCAAAGAGTAATAAAAAGTTGCTGTTCGAGAAAGTTTTTTGAAAATCTCAACTTATTATTAGAAAAAAAAGCACAGAATCATACAAACTTAAATTTACCAAATAGACAAAAAGGCTTGTTTTCTTTTTAAAGATAATTAATAAATTTCAACATTTTTATTTAACCCATAAATTAAATTCAGAAAAAAATTTTGTGTTACTTGAAAAGTTTTTTTTATATTTCAAATTTTTAATATGGAAGTGAGAAGACACGTGTGAAAAATAATTTAGTAGCCAAATGATGTATCAAAGTAACTCTATAATTTTAAAGTTTTGAATTAAATAAATAATATGAAGTTTGCGGATCATGATGATTAATAAAAGATTTTATTCAAGACATGAGAATGTCTGAAAATTGTTGAAGTTTGACTCAAATTTGCTATCAACGATTCAACTATAAATTACTTTTCATATGATGTTTGCCAAAATGTGTTACTTAGTGGCGATCATCCTCTCTATCCGTCAAATGTAATACGTCATCAATATTTCAAGCTGATAAATTACAGCAGGTTTCTCGCGGCGTCTGAGTTGGTGCGAGAAAACATTTTAATAATCAAGTTTTGGAAGATTGGAAGGTTAACACACACACACACACACATACACATACACACGCTCACACACACACCACACACACACTACACACACACGCACACAAGAGCACACATTAAACAGCATTTATTGACGAGACTTATAAGAATAAAGTTTAAAGTTACAATTAAAAATAATCTCTTAAGTTAAAAAATAAAAAAAATATACATTTAAAATATAGTTATGTTGTGTTTGTGAGAATGAACGTTGAATTTTTTTTTACTTTCATTTGACGCTGGCTTGCATGTTTCTGCGCACACAACAAAGACATCACACGACTCTCTTCTGTACACGCCGATAACACAAAACGAACTGCCTGAAAAAATGAGAAAAAGTAGATATGAAAGTCAGAATGGATGACGTGCCGCTGACTGCGGTGAAGTTGATGGGGTCGTTGCCAGGCTGAAAAGCTACTTATCTGAAAGTGCCAGATCGTCTCATAGTTCCACTTTGCTTTTTTTTATCATCTCCTGCAACCTAAAAACAAGACGCTTACGAATGCTCACTCAACATGCGCACGAACGCTGTCAGATATCTTCCTCACACGATCATTCAAGCGTTTTGAAACGTACAAATCTGGCGATGACACACAAACACACAAAGACAGACACGCAGGCAGACACGCAGGCAGACACCCAGAAATAATCAGGCGAGTGTGTGTTTGTTTGCATTGCACCCAATTTCTACAGATGCACTAGCAGGAAATATTAAATTACCGCCATCTATATTTCTTTTTCAATGCAGATGCTGTAACATATAAAGAGTGGTCATTCCATATATAATACATGCAAAACATTTTATGAGAGATGAGTATGTATGTGCCCGCTTGCTTGCATGTCGGTGACTAGTCCACTGCATAATGCATGCATGACTAATGTGCGTGCTTAGTTATCATAACATATGCAAATTTTATGCAGTTAACATAATATATGCATGGTTTTGTGTGATTTGAATAGCTGCAACACATTCGCACACACGCACACGCGCACACGCGCAATCTATTATTTAATAATTTTTCACTTCAGTGCCCGATGCATCAACACTTGCAGACGCCACTTGCATGGCTCCTTATCATTCTCCTTCCTTCAACAAACAACACGTTTCCATAAGCAGCGGTTCTCAGTGTGTTTTTTGAGATTTGGCAGACATTTTTTGATCTACTATGCAGTTTCATTAACAAATTTGAACTGCTTCCATGGAACATACCAAACTATCCTATTTAAACTGTTCAGTCACGACGTGTGCAAGTTTCCATCATCTGTCGTCGTTGTTGAACATGTTGTACCGTTGATGAACAACATGAATGTTACCAGTGTGTTAGATTTGTTGTTCAGTTTTATGTGTTCAATTGCACTTTCTGTTCAGAATTCTAATTAATTCTAAGGTGTAAACGTGTTTGGGGCAAATATCTTAACATCATGTCATTACTTATTATAAAAACAATTTGAAAAAATTGCTGACACATTAATTGTTATAGCGCTTGTTTTTTGCAATTTTGATTTTAATTGGCTTATCATGTAATGTATTACGAAAAAAGAACAATAAAAATTATGGATAAACCATAGAAATAATTAAAACTATCTGACGAGAATGCGACGAGATAGAAACAGATTTAGAAATTAATGCTACAATGTTTCGGGGCGGGAAAATAATTTAAGCATTAATTAGTGCATGTTTTTGTTGGTTGGATGCAATTTACGACGCACGTTCCGTAGCAGCTACACTTATTAGAATTGATCGCTTGTCATAAAAATTATCTTCCTGTCTATAATGCGGCTTCATAGGATGTTGATTGTGGTGTGAAGATGATGAGGATGATGTGACGCGAGGATGGGCTGCTATGTTGAGATGTGTTGTGTGTTTCTGTTGTGTGGATGTGTTTTGTTTTTTCGTGTTTTTGCATTGTTTTCATGATACATAGGATGCAATATTTTCATGATATACATTTTTAGGATACTATATTTTTGTGATATAATATTTTTTATGATATAACGTTTTTTTTATAATAAAACTTTTTATAATATAATATTTTTATGGGACAGTGTTGGCAAGCTGAGTTTTTATTTTTATTGCAATGTGCATGTGCATTGAGTGATGAATGATATTATGTGTTGTTGTTGTTGTTTGTATGTGTTTGAATGTTGTGAAATTGTTTCGTTCAGTATTTTATACAGTGTATTTATTATTTATACTGGATTAAGAGAATTGAACTCTTCATATTATCTGAATATTCCCAATGCAAGTTAAACCTCGTTAGTTTCACAGAAAAATACCTACAGAAAATTCGGAAATAACATTGGAGTAGACATTTACAACTGTGATTGTTGATTGAAATGTTGAAAAATGTTTGCATAAAATGTTGGAAAGAATATGTTGGTGATGTAATTGGTAAAACCAACTGGAAGTGAAAATGAAAATTTCTTTCGACATCGTTTACACGTCTGCCGGCCTAAAATAGAAAATGTTATTTTATTTAGGATAAAACTCCGTCCAAAAGAGCATTTCAAGTTTAACATTAAAATAATAATCGAATGATGTTATCTTGAATAAATGTTTACAGTTTAGATGTTATTTTTAATGCTAAAAGATATTTATACATTTTATAAAACAACAAAAATGTTGTGACCTAAATAAGACTCAATATTGATTAAAATTTGCTCTGATCTTTCCAGCTACTTAACGAACGTTTGACAACAACCATTTAGGGGGTTGTCTATTTTCAGTAAATGAGAAAACTATGATATGATATTACAGGTTAAAACAACAGTAAATAACAATTGAAAAATAACAAATAAGATGAAAATTAAAAACCAATTTTAAAAATTGTAAAAAGTTTAAAAATTCTTTTTGGCTGCTCTGAACATTAACTGATTATATTTGGTATTTTTGTAGCGATTTAACAAACACCGTGTTGAAGGAATTTTTCTCTCAATCTCAATTCTTTCCTGTTAATGGCATCAATAATGGACTAACCTCATTAAATTTTGTTTAATTAGATTTTGTTTTTTTTTAAATTTCAAATAATCAGTCTTAATTATGTGATATTGGCATATCAACACTGAATATATATATTTTTTTATTTTTTAAAATTGCATTTAGTTTTATTGAAACGATCAAATTTTATGACTTTAAAAAATCTTCTTTACGTTGATGTTTGAAACTGTTTGGAGGAACAACAAGCTTGTAAGGAGCATTTTCATTCCACATTCGATCAGATATTTTGCCTTCTCCGCCCCAATTGCCAGGCAGTGATCCATGTACAAGTGCGAAGCATAGCTATTACACTAGCTGATTTTTTGAAGCATTTAAAATGTCTGCTAATTTGTTTAAAGTAACTGTAAGCCATACTATTGAGAAAGACAATTATCTATATTGTTAATTAGAAAAAGAAATTCATCTGATCGAATCCTTCCTGCCCAGCTCCTCCCTGCCTGCCACACCTCCACGACCAATTTCTGATGGCTTCCAACAGTTGCTTTCTACCTTTGTCTACCTTAGCACCCCCCCTGCATGAGGACCACCAAACACACCGCAGAACAACTTCACCATCCTCTCTCCACAACCACCACCACAAATCATGCGATTATTTGCAAACACACCATTCAAAAGTTATAATTCATTCCAAAAATGATGTATGTGCCAACGAAAAAACAAAATGTCGAGAATATAAATAGCGGCAAAAAATAATTCCTCTGCATAGGAAGTCACATGTGAACTTGAAGCTGCATCAATCATTGAGCAGGTAGGTGAGTCAGTTGTATTAATCAACTCCAGTTATGACAAGTTGCTTTTTGAAACGAAGTTATGATAACATCAACAATGTAATTATGAATAAACACAGAAAAAAATCAATTTCAGCACTAATCATCAAAGAAATATTACAAAAACTAATTGTTCAAGCAAACAAACCTGGAGATTTAACGTTTTTTTTTGAATTAAAACTCTAAATAACCCATGCCTAACACTTACAAGGAAGGGTTTCGCCTTCAACAAACTTTATCAGTGACAACATCATATGTCACGGATCAGCACAAACACGTCCTCTTATTAATTTTAGCAGTTTTATTTTTTGGTAGCAAATTTTAAGAGGCTGAATTGCTGCTGCTGCACAAAGAAACAAATTTGATCGCCGTGTTTGTTTCATTGATCAAAAATTATTATTCTACATCCAAAACATAAATCACCAAAAACGTTCTTGAGTTACTTTGAATTATCTTGAATGGTGGTCATTTTGACGAAACCAACGTCAGTTTAAAAGAGGTTATTGATGATGATAATGATTTATATTTATTGAATTGAATAAAATATTTCTACAATTATTATATTCTAGTTTATGAACATTCGAACGCACTTCAACATACAATGGCAACTGCCGTCTTCATCTCTTCATCTTCAGCATGTGAATGTCATCGCGAGCCACAAGTAGTAATCTTTAAACAGAGTTGATGCGCTTTTCAAAAAAATAACGAAATTTTTTGAAAATTAATTGTTACTGAAACGCTTGTATGTAGGGTGAAGCAATGTTTGGCGTGCTGATTTGCTCAGTCGGTCAGTGAATCAATCGAAGCACGATCTGCTGAAGCTATTTGAGATAAAAATTTGGCAAATATGAAAAAATATGAAACATGTCTTACAACTCAATATGCCCGCATCGGTCCGTGCGACTAGTCGAAAATAACAAAAATGAAAGATCGAATTGTGGAGCTTTCACGAGAAACAGTAATTTAGCGACATCAAATAAATTACAAAATATTAGACAAAAATTTAATTTTCAAAACTTTAAAACAACATTTTATTGCAAAGAACGATCAATTGTAACAAATTTATTCTAGTTTTGAGGAGCAGCCAAATGTGTTTTTAAATATCATACTAAAACTAATAAATAATACATGCATGAAATAAATGAACTGACCAGCATCAGCTTGGATCTCTTCGTGATTTCCAGCTGAAACTTCTTCTGTATCAGTGAAAGGCTGTACACGTGTTGGACGTTGGACTTGTACACATGCATGATGTGGCAGTCACTCAGCGTCGTACGCACCCGCAAGAATATTGAAAAGTAGAGACGCGGTCGTGGTAGCGGTGGTGGCTTCAAGTTGTAATAATGATTAACATTCTTGTTTTGTAGTGGTGGATAAAAATTATTTAGATAATTGTTAACTTGTGATACTTTGTTGCTATAAAGCAGGTTGTGGTTGTATGTGAAGTAGTTGAACTGCGGATCGGCCGCCACGTTGATTGTGCGATTGTTGGAGAGGACGTTTGTAGCATGATGGGACTCGTGAATGTTATTTATTTTGTTTGGGGATTTGTTGGTGGCGCTACTAATGTTGCTGCCTTCATGCTTATTTACGTTGTTTTTCTTGTGGTTTTGGAAGTTGTGAATGTTGTTGTTGTTGTTGTTGTTGTTGTTGTGGTGATTGTTGTTGAAATTGTTGTAACTGTGTGTCTGGTCACTGATAAAATGTTGCACATCGAAGTCTTCATTGTTTTTCGATAAGCCATGATTTAATTTTCGAAGGAGGTGATGGTGATCGAAATGAGGTTTCAGATTTTCATGTGGCTGGAAAGTGCCATAACTTGGAAAGTGGAATGGCTGTTGGTTGATATGTTGGTGTTGATAATTATGTCGTCGTTGTTGTAGTTGTTGATGTTGTTGGCTACTTGAATACAAATAGTACACCAATGTTGAGTGCTTCGTCCCATCAAATAGCAGGGTGAGGGTTTCTGTTGTTTTGGAATGGTTAATTAATAAATAATTAGGACAATATTGAGTTAGATAATGTTCTGATAGATTTGCATGTACATGGTTATGATTTGAAGTGTTAAATACTTAGATGGGGTTAAGTCAAAAAGCGTGATATCCTTTATGAACAGCCCCTCTTAAAATGCCAAAAAATAAATTTGATTAAAAAAAACTACATATAAAACTTTTCAGCTTCTTATTTTACTTGTTAAATTTCAATTTTTTTTATCTCTATTTTTAGTTTGGTATATTTATTTAAGCAAAACACAAATAAGCAACTTTCAAAAAATGTTTTATAATTTGATCATTAAAAGTTAACAAGCATAAACAGCATGATTGATTGAATTTTTTGAAAAATATTTCAACTTTGGGAAGTTAGGGAAAATAAATGGTATAAAGATTGTCTATATTTCTATAGGCTATCTTACAATACAAAAATGAAACGCTAAATAAGTTTTTGGCCTTTGGCAATTATATATTTTCACACATAATAATATAAGCTTGCTACACATACACATCCACAATTACAGGACAATACAGGAAAGTACATGTACAAAGAAAATTTCTCGACGATGTCATTCCACGAAAGACAAAATTTGCAAGATTTTTCAACTTCAAAAAATGGACAAAAAATTGTTTAGAAGTGATTTATTTGCGGGAAGCACTTGCTGTTGACCTGCATAATGCTTATGACTTTATCGTCGTCATCATCGTGTGACGTCATCATCATCGTCATCCTCATCTTATGACATCATCATCATCACCATCGTATGTCATCATTGTATGACATCATCGTCGTCATCATTGCTTCTTCCTCTTGATTCCTCATCAACATCATCGTTAAATTATCATCATCACCATGGTCATTTTTATTATCATCTCACTTGGCACAGTTTACTCAAAAGATTTTCTTATTAACCTCCTTTGCAGTTTGCTGCTTTGAAAGACTTATTGTCTTCGATTAATTGGCTCGGAAATACGATGCTTCCAGCAGATAAGCGAGCTCTACTGCTTTGCTAGGGCCAATGTTTTGTTGTTTGTGTGCCATTCGTTGAATGAATGAACTCGTTTATGTTTTATTCTTTGTTATTTTATAATATCTCTACAATAATGAAAGAAAATTTTGATGGTTATTGAAAAGTTTGAATCGGTTCGGCGTTTTGTTGTTTTGTTTCAATTATTGAATTGAAGTATTTTATCAAATTGTATTAAGGATATTTTATATCGAGAGTTTTACATTTTTATATTATTTTAAATTGTTACTAAGTAAGTTCGTTTTAGTGAAGTGTTTGTTTTAAAAGAGGATACATGTAAATTAGGTGTTGTGATCAAACAGCTTTGTTCATTCAAGTATTAATGCAAAAAATCGACTCGTAGAGCTAACGCTGAAACGATTTGATCGATCAAATGACTGCCTTTGGAACAAATCTATCGTTAGAATTGTTCAGTGGATCGTTCGGAGCAATGTGGGTTCAACATACATCAGGCCAACTTGCCCACTGCTATGCTATTTAATTGAGTGCCTCCCTTCTTTATTGGCTAGTTAACGTTTCATTTCTTCCTGCTAATCTCTTCAGATTATTCTCATTTGTATAATTCTTTCAAGTCATTCACCATTGTTTTTTTTCTTTTTGCGTTTCTAGTGGGAAGGCTTCATTGGCAAATGTTTATCTCAGTTGCAAGTAGGTTTGCTTGGTTGGCTTGTTTGTTGGTTTGTACTTTGATCTGTATGTGGGTTTGTAAGTTGATTGATAACGCACGAGGGTTAATAATTTTGTTTGTATGTAAACATTAGCATTGGTGTATAATACGATGGTTTTTAATGTTTTTTGGTAGAAAAGAACTGCAGTTTATGGGATAGTATTTAGACATGAACATCTATCCAGTTTGACATCTGTTTATGAAACGTGCAAACATATTATTTTTAAAATACACAACTGCAATTATTGATTTACACCTATTGTTAATTAGTTTACCATCTAAATCAATAAATATTTTTATTTCCAATCCCCGATGTATTTATTTCTGTAGCTACTTGAAATCACAACTTTTGTTTCGATTGGTTGTAGTGTAACATAAATTTAACGCCAGATGAAACATCCTCCTCATACATAATTTAAAAATTCAATTGTGCACATGTTCAACTCTATTGCTGTTTTCTTTGTAAGAAATATTTGAAACTGAGATACTAATTTTTTATTTTTTAATTAAAAACAAGTTAAATTAACAAGCAATAATGATATATAATATAATAGATTTGAAGCGGTTTTAAAAACTGTTTTACTCCCTTCGAATTTCTTCAAACGTTTATTTGTTTGGCCTCAAAAGAATTTTAATAGTTTTTTCTCTGGTTAAATACATTTAAATTATACAACAGTACAGCAAATACGATCAATGACATAATGAACATTTCGAGATTCCTATGAAAATTTTGGAATTTCAATTGAAATTGTGCAAATCAAATTTCAGACGAAAAAAAATTGAATAATTTGAAACTACAAAATGAGTTATTATTTACTATTGCTGCTTTTTTCATAGCTTTTTTAAGTAAAGATAGAAATTATTCAATTTGAAATACAATGTTTAAACAATAAAACACGTTCATGTCACTTCCTAATGGTGTGAGATACTCGTATTGATAATAATATATTAGGCATTCGCAAGAAAATATTGTGTGTAAGAAGAAGATCACGTGCGCTTATGCAAACATCTGATGAAGATACAGAAGAGAGCAGATAATTGTTTGACCAAGTGATATCTTGCCTCTGTTGTTTCCCTTCTATCTGAATGAAAACTTGCAAGATTGTTTTAAAATATTCTATCAGCTTTCCAACATTTTTTTCATTGACAAATGGAATTTTATCTGTTACAGTCAGCAAGTGGAAGTTAAAAACTTTGAGTTCATTACATGCTTAATGAACGCCTACTTGCATTTATTTTAGATTTAAAAACATTGGAAGCATACATAAGGACAGCCCGTGCGTGATCCTATGTTGGTGTGGGACCTAGATGGAACAGGGAGTGTGCAGCCGTTGCACAAGAGTAAACAATATTTTAGATAACATTGGTAGTTTTCAGTTGCATGTAAACATTAGACTAGTTACTATTTGGAAACTGGACATTAAAGCATGTCTTTTTACCATAATAATGTGAGCACCGATAAATTGATCTGTTTATTTGTGCTTTCTGATCAGTAGATTGTATTGTAGGTAGGACTACGTCACGTAAGAACATTGGAGGCTCAAATCCCCTAACTTATATAACAGGAGTTGCCAAGCTCCTCGTCAGAGTACTTTTTCAAAATTTGAAAATTTTCGCAAGCCACAATTAAATACTTATTGAAGATGAAATAAAAAATATTTCTAAAAAGTTATATTTTTAATAAAATATAAATAATAAAAAAAACAAATTTTACTTCTTTTAACAATTTTTTAATTTTAAAAATATAATAACACAAAAGATAAAAAGGGAAATTAGGTAGAATTATGGAGAGCCACAAATAATTCTTTAAAGAGTTTGATCCCGCTGATATATTTTCTTCACATTTCATGGTTTGTAGTCCCTAGTCTTATGCCATAATTAGCATCCTTCAAAAAGTTTATAGAATGCGATCACCTCCTTTATTTCATTTTTTACGTTTGATGCTTATTTAAAAATATTTCTTATATAGGTTCGAAGTTTTACAAAAATTGATTTTTTTTTAAAAGTATTATGCAAACAACGCGTGTTGAAATAAACTAATGGAAATCAAACTCTCATCCGACCTGAACATCGGAAAGAAAAAAAAATTAGGTTAGGAGGAATCCATAAGAGGCTGGTAAACAACTCATTAAGTTTGACCACCTTCTTGACGAGTGCCTCGACACGTACACACACACACACACACGTACACACACACACACACACACACGCACACACACACACATGCACCATACACACACGCGTATATACTATACATACTCATACGCGTACACCCACACACGTGCACACACACAAACACATAAAGGTGAACAAACATACAAAATATTCAAACAAAAAAGTTCAACAAACAGACGTTAATGAAACTCATGCCAAATAACAAACATATGCCAGAGCATTCATGTTCATACCCTAGTCTAAAAAATAGCACACAAGTGTAAGAGAATGCATACACACATACATAACCTTTGAACATACATTCATATTTAAATATCAATCTCAACAAACCACTCGGACACAACATACCTACCTACAAACATGCAACCCAGCGAGCCAGTGCAACAAACAAGACACATCCAACCTACTGCACATTTTGCATTTTGAGCGAATGACACGTGAAACATTATGCAAAAGAGCCAATTTGAAGGAGCGCGTGTTGAAAGGCAGGCATCTTTGCAAAAGTCACCATACACGTCACGCTCGTTGGAAAATTCCCATCTTCTATTGTAATGTATGGAAATAAAATCTTCATCGCAGCCAGCCTACAAATATGCTTCAAAAACAAAAATGCTACAAATATGCAGCCCTGCAAAAACTTGGCACAAAAGATTAAAGTAATAAAAATTCCATTGAGCCGTTATATATAATTCGCATGCTTTTAAATTTACTGGGTTTGTGCAACGTGTAATATATTAAGAACAAATTTTTTTTAGTCTTTTAACCACCCAAAAATTAAGAATATTTAACAACTCTGTGGATCGAAGCCAACTCATTGCATAGGTTTCACCTTTGCAAAGTTTTAATTCAGTTCGGACACTTCAGCGTGCCTCACATTCTTTGCTCTTTCAATGATTTTCATTAACAAGTGCTGACCAACAAGTCGCCACGCATGCCCTCATGTTTGAAACTTCATTTTGTGGAGCTTCATTTTCAGGTTTCATTGTTTGCTTGCTTTTTGAGAGTTCACATTATTTTAAAATTTTATTATTATTTAATTAATTCATGTTTTTTTAATATTTATATTATTTATCATACAAAATTGTTATTTAAAGTTGAAAATTATTATTACCTCAAAATCAAACCATCTTAAAACCCCAACAACAACCAAACGTTTTTCAACATTTGCTAACCAAAATAACCAAAAAATTTATTTAGCGCGAAATATTCATTCAATAATAATAAAAATTTTAACTTAGCTGCATCTTAACATGTAAAATGCAAAAACTGGACCTACTTAACAGATCCTATCTTACAATTTCATCGATTTCTTAGTCTAAACAGTTCACTGAATCATTCACTATTTATTTGAGGACGATTTGAGGTGAATGCATGATGAGGTGAGATGAGGATGGGGTAATTAGGTGGCAATGTGATGACAGTGGTAAGTCTGGGGACGGCGTTTTGAAATAGAAAATCAACAAAATATTGAGGTAATAAGCAAAAAAAAAATCGCCAACCTAATTTTTGCCATACTAGCACAAATTTGGTTAGTTTTTAGGCCCCTCATCAAAGTTGTCTAATAAACGCCCTTTGTGATGATGCGGTGATGTGAAAGATGGCGATTATGATTCATAATAATAATAATGAGGAATAAAGTGGGGACTGATAAAGATGATGTAGATATCACAATTCAACAACAACAATAACAACAACAACATCAACGACATCAACAACAACAACAACAATAATGATAATAATTCCATCAACAGAGTGACGATCCTCAACAGGTCTCATAATTTTTCTCTAATCAACTTTTATTGATCATCTCACACAATTGAAAATGATGGATGGAAAGTCTGAAGGCGGTGCTGGTGATTGAATGAATGAATAATTGAAAGATTAAAGTGAAATGCTCTGTTTTTGCATTTATGTATGTAATAATGTATGTATGTATGTATGTATGTATGCATGTATGCATGTATGCATGTATGCATGTATGCATGTATGCATGTATGTATGTATGTATGTATGTATGTATGTATGTATGTATGTATGTATGAATGTATGTATGTATGTATGTTTGAATGTATGTATGTATGTATGTATGTATGTATGTATGTATGTATGTATGTATGTATGTATGTATGTATGTATGTATGTATGTATGAATGTATGTATGTATGTATGTATGTATGTATGTATGTATGTATGTATGTATGTATGTATGTATGTATGTATGTATGTATGTATGTATGCATGTATGCATGTATGTATGTATGTATGTATGTATGTATGTATGTATGTATGTATGTATGTATGTATGTATGTATGTATGTATGTATGTATGTATGTATGTATGTATGTATGTATGTATGTATGTATGTATGTATGTATGTATGTATGTATGTATGTATGTATGTATGTATGTATGTATGTATGTATGTATGTATGTATGTATGTATGTATGTATGTATGTATGTATGTATGTATGTATGTATGTATGTATGTATGTATGTATGTATGTATGTATGTATGTATGTATGTATGTATGTATGTATGTATGTATGTATGTATGTATGTATGTATGTATGTATGTATGTATGTATGTATGTATGTATGTATGTATGTATGTATGTATGTATGTATGTATGTATGTATGTATGTATGTATGTATGTATGTATGTATGTATGTATGTATGTATGTATGTATGTATGTATGTATGTATGAATGTATGTATGTATGTATGTATGTATGAATGTATGTATGTATGTATGTATGTATGTATGTATGTATGTATGTATGTATGTATGTATGTATGTATGTATGTATGTATGTATGTATGTATGTATGTATGTATGTATGTATGTATGTATGTATGTATGTATGTATGTATGTATTTATGTATGTATACATGCACGAATGCCTCTGAATTCGCATTTATATCTGTGTGTATGTATGCATGTCTGTATGTTAAAACCAAAACATGATGAATGAAACTGAACAGTCAAACATCAAGTAACGAATGGATTAATACTTTGATCTGTCGTTAGTTGTGCGTGTTTGTATGTGTGTGTGTGTGTTGCATGTATGTATGTGTTTATGTGTGTGAGTGTCTATTTGTTTATGTATCAATATATGGATGGATGGATGAATGAATGAATGAAGAGTTTGAGCCAGTTGATGACATGACGTCAAATGATCTCGTGACCCATCAGACGGTATCTGATTGGACACTTTTCCATCCACTCAACTGACTAAGCGACCAACCAATATTCCTTCCCGTCATACGATCCTTTGTCCAATTACAAATTTGTTCAGCACGATTCAAACTATGGAAAGTTGAGAAGCAGAAATAAAATGAGACAAACTCGCCATGATGCTAGTCAAGTTATAAAATGAGTTGCTGTTGGTTGAAGAAAAAAATAAAGATGAAATGAAAGTCATCCTCTGTAGTGCAAGAAGTTGCCGGGAAAATTTTTGGAAAATAATAACAAATGTGATAATAACTATTTCCACTATGACCTCTAGTGAAACATTATAAGACATCAATAATGTTTATTGAAATAATTATTAAAAAATAAAAATAAACATACAGCCGAAATTAAAGTACGACATGAATTTAATATGAAATGTCAGATATCACAAATCAACCCTTCAAGTTATAACGTTAATTGGATATATTTATTAATATGCTAACAAACTTGATCAAATAAAAACTTATTGAGTAATAATTTATTTTTAACTTTAGTTGAAATGTTATTTCACTACAATCTCTTGAACTGGACAGCCACATGTTTTTCTTCAAACCAGTGCAATGCGGAAAATGAATGGCAGCATGTTTGTTGTATTTCAAGTCACTATTTGCAGCGATTCTTTCCTTATCCACCAAATACATCGTAGTTTTTTTTCCATTATTTTAAGTAGATACGGGATGACAAAATTTAAAATATTGTCTAACCAGATGACCAAATTTACTATCTCAATCATAACCAAAAATTTTACAAATTCTCATAAACAAGCTTATATTTTTCACAAATATTATGATGGTCCTGTCCCTATTCCAATTTAGGGGTGGGTAGTATGAGTTGACACCTCAATTTAAAATTTCATTTGTGGAGTAACCAGGATAAATGTATCATTTTAAGCTTGGACGTTGATTAATTATTTTCGTCTTATAGGCTTAAGTTTATTATCAATTAAATGTTTAACGCTTGAAACAAATGCTCCATGAATTACCCTTTATAACGAGCTAGCAACCGATTACGAGCTTTCATCAGAGCAGGCCAATAATGTCTGCTGTTTGTCTTTTTGCGTTCCTAAGAAAACCTCTAAATAATAAAGTGATGTGAGTTGTACCGAATGGTGAATACAATAGAAAATATTTATGTGTATCTTAGATTCATGGTAGCCATGAAAGATTTATGATCATAATCGTGCCTGTATTTTAAAGAGCAAAACGAAAAAAATGTCATGGGATTAAAAACGTCAGCCTTGAAAGATGTGAAGAACTTTTTGTGGTTTCCGTCATCCATCCAGGTTGAGAGAAATGAAAAGTTATTCAAAGAAATTTTAAGTTGTTTTTTTGGTTGTCAAAAACACACAAATATTAAAAGGATGAATTTTTTGAACTTTGGTTAACATTTAAAGTTTTTAAAAGGTTTTCTTTACAATTATTATTGAAATTCCACCGCATAAGATTAAGCAGAACCATTAATTGCTATGAGTGCACTGTACATGTACACTATGTTCTCCAAGAAACAAACTTTTTTAAAATCATTTCGACCCAACCGAACAAAGATTAAAACGTTTTATCAAATAAAAAAGATTCTTTCATAAAAATTTTTATAATTAAATTTTTATTGTAAAATTGAGTTTTTCAATTTTTGTCAGCAGTCTGGTTGCATGCTACTGTGATGAAATAATTTAAGAATTTTCAGTGTGTGGATGAAAAAGAACATGATGGAACCCGGAAAAATTAAGATAACAAATTTCGTGATCTGGAAAGAATTGATAACATGGTGAGTGAAATAAAATTTAAAAATTAAAAAATGGCTACAAATGAACAATGCATCATTCGAAGAACAGATAAGAACATAGCACACAAGTACAAATATGCAAGCAAACCAAACAGTTCTTCTTAACGAACCTCTTTCACAATGTTTGCCCGTGAACTCTGTGTACGAACAATCACATCTGACATAAATTCCATTGGACTCGCCACCACCATCACTATCATCATCTGCATTACGAGCGTTGAAAGTTGCACGGTCATCATCATCATCATCATCATCGTCATCTTTGTCATCACTATCATCATCATCATCATGATGACCATTGATGCAACGACCTCCGTTCAAACATGGATTGTTCTTCTGGCATCCTGATGCCGCCTCATCTTCAGATTCTAGAAATAATGATGATGATGACGACGACGACGAAGATGATGATGATAGCGATGACGACGATGATGATGACGACGACGAAGCTGATGATGATAATGAGGAGGAGGATGAGGATGATGATGATGAGGAGGAGGATGATGATGATGAGGAGGAGGAAAAGGAGGAGGAAAAGGAGGACTAATTTTTTTCAAAGGATGGATATAAAATTAAGACAACCACAACTACGAAATGATGATGATGATGATGAGCAAGGTGATGATGATGATGCTGTAACGGTGGTGTTGTAATGATAATTATAAAACTGACGATAAGCTTAATAGTTGCGGAGATGATTGGTGGTTGTTTGGAAACCAACTTTTTCTAAAAGTTCATCGTTGCATTGGGAAAGTAGGGTATCGCAAAGTTAAATTTATAGAACAGGGCAAACTTAACTTTAGCTATTGTGATGGTAGCATCATTTTAAACAGCCTAAACATAATAAATAACAATTTCGATCATTATTCATGAAACAATTGGATACCATCTAACCCGAGTAACATAGCAAACATTAACAAGCCAAATTTAATAAAAGTGATAAATAACAACAACACTCATACTTCCAAACAAGTAAATAATTTATTTCACTTTAAATGGTTGCATACTTTCGTTTAACAGAAAGACACCGAAGGTATCTTGGCTGGTGAGAATGTGGGCGGTGATGACGACCGGTTGAAAGTTCAAGATCAAGTTCGAAATTGATCCTCTGAAAGACTTTTCAGAACTCAAATGTGGTGGAGGTTGTTTGCTAGCTGGAAGGAAGCAGACGTTCAAATTATAGAAAAATTAAATTATGGCTGTGTTGTGAATTTTTTTAGAAATATTTAATATAAAATGTAAAGAGCAACAAACAAACAAATATACATATGCATGCACAACTCGCATCATCAGCAGCTCACTCCTTAATTCTCCCCAACAGAGTCCCCCCACCAAATCTAGGGTCTCCCTTATGGGGCCTGCTAGGGCGAAAGGTCGGTGGTAGTGGTCCACCTGTTGGTTTTCATGGTAACTGATAGTCATTCAATTTAATTTTGTCAAGTTTTTTTTTCAACATTTTACAGCAGAAGTATTTCTATTTAATGAATCATTTCCTTCAGCTGAAAACTTTTGTGTAAATGTTAATAAGAAAGATAAAAGAAAGAAGAAAAATTGTTTATAACTTCAAATAATTGAAATAGTTTCAGATTTTTAAAATGAAATGCGTTCAAAATGAAACAACACCAATGAGAAAATTTTTTGTGAATCAAATAATATGTGACAAACTTGCACAAATCCCCTGTTGCCGTGAATGTTGAGGGCGAAGTAGTGTGGCTGGCCGTCGTTGATGGGGTGGCTCGATGACTGGATCTTCAATGTCCCGGACCCCAGGTCCATTAACAAGCATAGGAAACCTGCGTTGTGCGTGTGTTGGTGTGTATGTTGGTGTATGTGTTGGTGTGTCATGTGTGTGTGTGTGTGTGTTGGTGTGTGTTAGTGTTTGTGTGTGTTGGTATTTGTGTGTGCTGGTATGTGTGTGTGCTGGTGTGTGTGTGTGTGTGTGTTGGTGTGTGTGTTGATGTGTTTGTGTGGTTGTGTGTATGCGTGGTTGTTTTGTCCCCATCATGAATTGTCTTTATTTTTGTTTGGTTATTTTGATGGCGGCTGTACCATTTGCATCCGGTGCGCACTGTTCTGCAGTGATGCACTTGTTTCCTATTGTTGCTTTTTGTTGCTTATTGGCAAAATAATTTTTTATGGCTTTTAAGTTTTGTTAAATGCAAGTTATTTTGTTTATGTCCCAGCTTTGCAGTACTTTTTCAAACTTTCAAAATTTTTCTTTATGATGTTTGTTAGTGTTGAAGTTAACGTTCAACGTTATGTATTTACACTTTATTTCGTTTGTTAGTGTATGTGTCTAGCAGAGGCCGCATTTGAACCAAGTCAACGTGCTATGATGGGCAGGAGAAACATGACACTTACTACCTCAGCTAACTTTTCACAAATTTGACAATTCATCAAATTCTTCGAAATTTGTGACACTGCATTATGCGCGTTCAATATATTTTTTGTTCGTTACCAAATATTCATTTTTTTTCAGACGGATCGGCATTAGTTTCAGTGAAATGAACAGCTGATAGGAAGCATTCGTCTGGAGAGGTTTTCAGATTGGCCATAAAGATTGCACTTACCATTTACTCTTCAACGGTTTTTTTTCTAAAGTGGGAGGACCTGCTTGAAAAGCTGTTGTTGAGTTGAGGCACGTGTCACACAATTGTTTTTGTCGTTCAGTGGGATTGTCAAATACAGGAGTGCTCTAAATGTGGTGCCAATCAATGTGTAGGCGGTTTTTGCATATTATTGAAAAATATTAATTTATATTTGGTTTCAGCAAAATTGTTTTAGAATTGCAATAATGCAAAATGAAAATATATGACAACTCAAATACACCGGCAAAAATAGTTTGAATAAAATAATTGTTGATCACTTGCTAGGCGAAGATTGGTTTGCCTGATCGTAACGCATGGCTGAAGAACAGATGAAGCGGTGGCAGACATCTTCAATTTCATTTCATCCTAGTGACAAAACTTATTGTCCAAAAAGAAATCCCCAGATTAACATCCTCACTAACAACTTTCGCTGCATTACACGTCCAAAGCTTTCTTAACATTAGCAGAGCAGCCGAAAGAAGAAACGCCGACAGGAAAGTTATGGCTCACCTTGGTGTATCCATAATTGAACAAACTTTATTCATTTTTTATTGTTGGTAGATCGTTTTTTATTGAAAATAAACAAGAAAACTTCAAAAAAAATAATCAATTGAGATAGAATTAAATTTGATCCAAACATGCTGACTATTGCATGCAATTCGTGATATCTCCACGTTTTAAACGAAAAGTTTTGCCTATCCAAATCAACCTCACATAATTCACAATGAAAATTCTAACATAATAACACAATAAATCAATAGAATAGTTGTTTTTAATAGCATTATCAACATCCATGACAACACTGATGATATTCAACCATTCATTGTCCTAATTTTTAAGTCCTACTTTGGAATTTGGTTAATTAATGAACCATAATCTTGTTTAGTATCGAGAGGGCATTTAACAAATGTGGAAATAAAACCACAGAGATGATCCGAATGTTAATGATATGATAAAGCACTGAAAAAAATAAAGTTAAAAAAGGTAGCCACACCATCTCATTCACTTCACGACCACAGGTGTCAACAAATCATCAACATGACAGAAAACAACGCAAGAAATACTAAAATACTGAGACCAACAGTTCAAATATATGAGTTATAATTTTTTACTCTAACCAACAAAAAACGTAGCATCGAATGTAGCGTTCAAATAGATCGAAATAATTGCATTTCAAAATCTGAAAACAGAGCAAAGATTGGAGAACCAACATGAAATCAACTAACCAGCAACAAACGAACGAACGAGCGAACGAACAAGATAAAACGAACGAACGAACAAGCGAACGGACAAGATATTTATAAGAAAACAAAAGGAGTAATATGTTTCGAGCCGGATTGAAACAAAAGTTGTGTATAAATCAGAAAGATGAAAGAAAGCATCAGCGATATGGAGGCAAGCAACATACGTCACATTGAAAGAACACATGAATGCAAGTCGACCACCATTGAAAAACACAATGCACTAATTCACGAGACAACCACACATCATCGTCATCATCGTCGTCATCATCATCATCATCTTCGTTATCCTCATCATCGTCATCATCACCACATCCACATCATCATCATCACAACATCAACAAATTCATTATCAGTGACGTCATTTTCACATTGCCCAATCATTACCACTGGTTAGGATTCACTCATTAAGACCAGGTGACTGCGACTGCCACAGCTTCGTCCAATCCAATCAATTAATCAGAGAGAGAGAGAGAGAGAGAGAGAGAGAGAGAGAGAGAGAGAGAAGCCTATGCACCAAATCTTTAAACATACCTCATCACCTCATCATCATGATATCATCGTCATCTGCTTCTTCATCATCTTCATCACCATCATCAACAACTTTATTTATTAGACCAGGTTATTATCATCATTAGGACTTCATTCGCCATCTTAGTCGCTGGCAAGTCGTTATCACTGCCTCACATGCACACGCCATCAAACGATTCAATCATCAAATTAAATTTGGAACATCATCGCCTTGCATCAAACTCTATCATCATTGTCTGAATTCCATCATGGCATAACTATACAGCAAGCAATCAACAACAACCAACAACAACAACAACGTAGGACATCAATCTACAGCATACAAACAGATGCATCGACAAACACCACAATGAAACAGAATCCAATCCAAAAAACAAAAACCAAAACACTGGATAAATAAATTGAGATGATGCGACAGACATTTCAAGCGAATTGATCAACAGATAAGATTGGAGAACAACCAACAATCACACCATTCATTTCATTCATTCACTCACTGACTCACTCACCCACTGACTCTCTCACTGACTGACTGACTGACTGACTCACTCAGTCATTTACTCACTCACTCTCACTCACTCTCACTCACTCACACACTCATTCATTCATTCATTCATTCGAAACGAGTTTTTTAATTTATTAATTGCCGACTTGAAAAATTCCCCACCATGTAGTCATTATGGCATTTCTTCGATTCTCGGGAAGGACACCATTGTCAATATAGTGGAATCATAGAGTCATATTTTCGACAACGCGTGCAAGTTTGGTGCTATTCAATGCTGCTCTAAAATAATTATTCCAAAACTTATGATAATATTTTAAAATGGTGATACATAGTATCTAAAATACTGGAAAAAATTGTGTCAGTGCGTCTACGGAGTTATTTGAAACATATACATCTTTTTTCAGACCCACAATATGGATTGACTGAAGTTCCATCAACTAGGCTGGCTGTTTTGGGTATTAACAATGATGTTTTGAAAAATATAAAAAAAGTTAACCACTGTTGGTTAATTCTTGAATTTGAAAAAAGCTTTTTATTTGATTGACCATGACATATTTCTTAAGAAACTGTTTAAAATAGGAATACGTGGTTTTGTGCACAAATGATTTGCTGATTATTTAAAAGATCGCTAGCAATACGTGCCGATCCTCACATGTTGTTGCTAAGTATGGTCTTCCTTCGGGAATGGTGCTGGCTTTCATGTTATTTCATATTTTAATTACTGATTTGCCCAATGTTAGCAAGTCTGTTGAAATGGTTCTTATTGCTGACGATACAACAATCCTTTGTTGTTGGCGGCGATGAATTTGCATTAAAATTAGAACTTAAACTAATAAACAAATGGTTACGTGTTGTGCATATATCTATCAATTATACTGCAACCAATTATATGATTTTTGGTCCAAAAATTCTGGCTAATAACATGCGTGCAGAGGTTAATTTAAACAATTAAAACGTTGAAAGAGTTTATGTCAATAAATTTCTGAGCTTCATAACATCGGATAACTTTTCATGGTTAGAACATAGCCTATGTATTTCAAGGAAAATCTCGTGAAATTACTATTAGCAACTCTAAATCTAAATCTGAAGGCCTATAAGCAACTGCTGCCAGCAAAAATCTTGAAATGTTTTACGAAATCAAAAAAGTAATGTTAATAATCTATGGAAAGTGCATCTTTTTTAAATTAATTTAAAAATCTAAACATGTATAGGTCATCCACTTTGTTATAACTCTTGGCCCTCGTAACTACCAACACCAATGCTATAACCTCAATGATCTCTATTTTCCAACACCAGGGTTGTAGCTGCTAACGTTCGTTAAGTGTTCGTTATTCCGTAGGTTCAAGATGAACACAACTGCTTCAAACGCAAACTTTGTTGAACGTTTATTTGATTACCAAATAAGAAACATCAAACTCATCCAAGTAACTACATAAATCATCTTTACGACTTCGCTTATAACTTCGATAGGAACTTGACTGCAAACACGACTACGGAGGGCCTAAATGTAGAGAGACTTTTACGATCAAAAGATTACAAATATCTTTATTTACGATCTTCTATCCAAAGATTACAAATAAGGCAAAAATACCAATAATTACGATAACGAATAATATAGCGCAATTTGATCATTCCAGCGTTTATAACAATATTTTCAATGGGAGTCTTGCATCAATTAATAATATTAATCTTTTTGTTAAAATAATTAAAAGGATATTTTGTCCGAAGAGGAATGACATTAAGTTATTTTTTATGGTGTTATAGTGTAGATTATCATCATATCATGACAAGCCTTGTTGTTTTCCAGTTGTGCACTTATTATTGCTGGCATGCAAAGTTACTTTAACTTGTTCTCAAGACCAAAATTTAATTTATAAATTTTTTGGTTGTATAAAAAAATGATATAAAAAAACTCTATCGTACAAGAACGAGGTACCGATAACAAATATCGCGAATATGCAAGCAGCTAGCCAATTCGGCGAGAGAAAATGTTGAATGGCCGAATGTAAGCGTGATGAATAATGTCAGTAGGTCGTTCATGCCATGACAGAATTTTTAAAGTTTGAGTGATGTATCAATTAACTGGTGGAACATTTGAATATTTGTCAGTGCATCGTGTTATGCCAGCCAGCCAGCCAGGCAGGCAGGCAGCCCTATCTCAAAGGTTGAGCCTGTATGCAAAACAAAGTGAACTCGCGTTAGACATCAATCAATAAGTTGCTCGTGTGTTTGTGAATTGTTTTACATATATCATTCATCATCATGCATCACAACATACATACAATCATACATACAATCATTTATCCATCCATCCATCCATCCATCCATCCATCCATCCATCCATCCATCCATCCATCCATCCATCCATCCATCCATCCATCCATCCATCCATCCATCCATCCATCCATCCATCCATCCATCCATCCCAATTTGTGTTGGTACCACACCTGCCTTTGAAATTAAATTTTTAAAAATATTCAGAAATCAAAAAGGATAATTTTGTTGTTGAAATAATGAGGTTTTTTTAAATATATAACGAGACTCCAAATTGCAAAGTAAATTCATTTGAAAACAACACATGTAACAGCAAAAATCACAGCATAAACGACGACAACAACAACATTAACGACAACACCAACAAAAAACACACTAAAAATAAATTAAATAAATTACTCAAAAAAAAAGTTTTAACAAATAACAAGCAGAACATTTTTAAATAAATTGTTTTAACCCAATTTTCATCGACATCATATTTGACGTTTCTAAATATCTTTTAGTTTTCTCGGCTTAAAGTTTTGAGAAAATACAGAATTTAAAAAAAAACTACAAAATTTTGACAAATAATTTTTACAGATGTCTTTCATTATTGAAATTTATATATGCAGCCACATTCTGCAACCAGCTTATAACACTGGACACGAGTTGGCGATGTTGTCTGGAACAATAACAATATCAACAACATTATCTTACGTCAACAACAACGCAACAGCAGCAGCAGCAGCAACAACAACAAACACATCGCAAACAACAATACCAACTGAAACCAAGTGCCAACAACATCCTCATCATCTCATCAGCTACACAACTCGCCAGCACACCGATTCACCAAAAAGCAAACTGACTTGCAGCACTCACAACACAACACAAACACATCAGCGTCATGAAAGCCATCCAACTTTTGAATGTGGCTTCCTTTTATAAAAATCTTTCCACGTTCTTCTAATCATCTTATTCTCAATATTTTTAATGTAATCTCGTTTTTCCCTAACGAATATTTCCTCTTGCATGTCATCAAGACAAAATATTCTCATTGCTATTTCGCTTATTCAACGCGCAAACCGTTTTGAAGTCTTTTTCAATATTATAACCGTTTGTAGGTTTTGTTTGAAGTGTTTATCAAAAGACAATGACTGGAAATAAAAATCATTTTCTAACGGAGTTGATTTTAAATTAGGTAGAGAACCAGCCATTCCATTCGCCATGCACCAAATTGTTAACATTCCGTTCGAGCTTCATACAAGCTGCTCAGCGGTTTGAATTTTATGTTCTCATCTCATTCACAAAGTTAGTCAGGACTCTCAATTCGCCGTGGAATGATTGACACACGTTTTGAACACAAATATTAAACTTAGGTAATAATGAATGACATTCGCTCTGCTGGACACATGCATTAAACCCATCTCGTAAATACATAGAATACATGTTCCCAGCACTGGTACTATACATGTGTGTACGCTATGTAGGTACTGAACGCAAGTTCTAAACACATGCGGGTACTATAAACATGAATACTCCACACATGCAGCAAATACTGCTGTTAAAACAAACACCGAATATAGAACACGAACTTCACAAATAAACTGAAAACAAATGTAGCAATCCCATAAACTGAACACATGTTCTGTGCAGAGCAGATGTGATATAAAAAAGCACCAACCATCTTGAATTTCCAGTGCGAAGAAATCTGTTGTGTTAGACGGGCCTGAAGAGTAAGCCATCAAGCCATCCAGGTCACGTGTTTTGAAGGTGAAGGTCATCCATCTGCTGTTGTTGCTAGATGAACAGATGTGAAGTTTTACGGTAACGGAGATGATGTTTGTGGCGGGTGAATAATGGATGTAGTATGATTATATATTGTCATTAATAATGTACGAGTTTCTATGTACAGAAGTAATACCAAGAGCTGGAACCAAACCATTTTAGCTTTCAAGCATAGGATTGATAATTGATTATAAAATTGAATAGGCAGGACGTATTAATTGGCAAGTTTCAAAATGTCTGTTGAACGTTTTTACACGATAGATTTGACATCAAACCAAATTTTATTTTTTTCTAAACGTATTATAAAAAGAAACAGTTTGTCGTTATTTTAATGCTATCGTCATTAGTTCATTAAAAAGTTTCTCCCAATTTATTTATTATCAACGTGATAAATTTTTTAGAAAAATTAGAACCTTTTAGAAAAATGTTAAATTTGATTAAAATGCAATTGAAAAATTAAAAAAAAATTGAAACTTATGCTTCTGAGTGTTGCAAATGATCAAAAAATTGAAAAGAAAGCATATCAGGAACTCGGTTTGAACGGTTTCAAGAACCGGATTCACAAATGTTTGAGAGGTTCCAGATATCGAAACCAAACCGATTTCTATTAAGGCATAAAATGCTGTAACATCAGAATTGAACAATTGTATTTTTCATTTAGGTTTCACGCAGAAGAACCCCTACAACAAAAAGTAGGAATCGTACTTCACAAGTTGTCATGTAAAAAGTTTAAGTTTTTGTATATAAGTGTTTCATCACATTTTTATTTTTGTAAGCCAAAATCATGTTAAATATTTGCTGGAATGTTACTGGGTTCTGAAATTATTGCAGGGTTTTAGAACGCTATACAAAATTTTCAAGTTTACAAAATGTTTTCAACAGTTTTAAATTTGTACTACCTGACAAAATTTGTCGGGTGTTTCTGGTCGGTGTTCATGTTGATGTGACTGTCTGAGTTGTGGATGTAGTTGATGTGATTGAAATTGATGTCATAATTGTTGTTGGCGGTATAATTTGTATGCAGGTTGTGGTAATGAGTGGAGAAGTCGATTGAGTGGATGTGTTTGTCGCTGGAAACACCACCATGCATGTGCGTGCTGTTGTAGTTCCTGAAATGGTTGATATTATTTATTTTGCTGATTTTGTTTTTATTATTATTATTATTGTTGTTGTTGTTGTTGTTTTTGTTCATTATGTTTGGATTGGACATGGGAGACCAATGAGGCAGTTCAAAATACGCTTGTCTACTGAAGAACACCAGAGATGGTGATGGTGACCACGACGAGGATGATGATGATGATGATGGATATGATGATGATGATGATAACGATGGAAATGAAGATGAAAATGATGTTGATGATGATTTTGAGGATGATGGTAAGCTGGTGAATGGAGAGTCACCAAGATATGAATAAAATTCATCGGATGTTGTGTTGTTGTTCTTCTTTCTGTTGTTGCTGTTGTTTCTGTTGTTTCTGTTGTTGCTGCTGTTGTTAATGTTAATTTTGTTTATGTTCCATTTATGAAGTAGAATATAATTATTGGTGTTTCTATTTTTTTTCGTGTTTTTTCCAGTAAAATTTATTTTGTTTACGTTATTGTGGTTGCTGTAGTTGAACTTGCTATTTACAGTGTTGTATTTTTGTTGTTCTAATTGTTCGAGTTGAATGAAAAATCGGTTGTTAATGTGTTGGTTGATATGTCTAACATTGCTGTGTTGTTGGTTGCTGTGTTGTTGGTTGCTGTGTTGTTGGTTGCTGTGTTGTTGGTTGCTGTGTTGTTGGTTGCTGTGTTGTTGGTTGCTGTGTTGTTGGTTGCTGTGTTGTTGGTTGCTGTGTTGTTGGTTGCTGTGTTGTTGGTTGCTGTGTTGTTGGTTGCTGTGTTGTTGGTTGCTGTGTTGTTGGTTGCTGTGTGCATCTTCCAGCTGCCGCTTGTTATGGTTACCGAGGCTTGGTTTTCCTAACTGGAGCAGATTAGATGGTTTATGATGCTGTCGTTGTTCAAGGTGGGAGTGAGGAACATCACCATCATCATCATCCTCATCACCATCATCGTCATAATAATAATAATGATATTCATCGTAATTACTCTTCAACTTGTTTCTGCTGTTCTGACCAACAACGGTGCCATCTTTCTTCATCTTGTTTCTGCTAGTATTTGCTTCGCTGGCGTATCTCTTCGATTTTTTACCTTCAAAAAATGAAAAAAAAACAAAGAATGAACCACAAACGATGGAGAAAGCAAATAATTTAAAAACACAAGCTTACTCCAAGCGTACGCACTGCAGTAAATTTCCAAGAGCATGACATAAACACGCGTAAAATCGTACCAACACATGCAAGGACAAAAGCACGTTTAAACGCAGATCTGCCAGCACATACACAGCAACACATTCAACACACATAACCAAATATCAACGAACACATCTTCTTGACGAAACCAGTATGAAAGGGCATAATAATAAATTTGTACACACAACCATTCTGCTATTTACTCCTTAAAAAATACATTCATGAAACAAAATTTGCAAATAAGCATGCAATGAAAACACACACGCACACAAACTACACACACGTACACACAAACACACACACACAGATGCAGGCACCTCAACGCAATAAAAGCAAACATCGATCGATGAGGAAGAAGAAAAGAAGAGATCTGTTAATTTAAAAAGATTCCGTTAAACAAAAGGGTTCTTTATGTCTTTTTATGTTGCTTTGTGTCATGTTATGTTTGCCATGTTACGCTGTGATCTGTGCTTCGTCGTGCAAGGTCCTGCTACGTTACACCGCACCAGGCTGGCTTTCGTTGCGTGTTCTCATGTTTTACGTGCGATATAAAGAGACATGAGCTCGTAAATTCGGCAGCTAATTACCGGACTGCTATGTAGATTAGCGAGGCGAACCGATACTTAAACGTTCCATTGAAATAGTAGTAGCGATAATATAAACAAAAAAAAAATAAAAATTCAAAGGTTACGAAAAAAACAAAGAACCAATATTTAAAAAAGTAACAACAAAAACAAATAATACATCTATGTAAACAAATTCAGTGGAACTGGCAATAAAATAATGACAATTAAACATCAAAATAAAAAGAAATAATTCATACAAATTTGTACCAATTACAAGCACGAGACGGGATTTGAACCCGAGTCACGCGAGGAATCATTCGAACAATGACGCTAATGAAAACAAATTAGATTCTTCCGGCTTCTGCTGTCACTTCCAAAGTTTAAAAAACAAAAAGAATTTCGTAAATTGGGTTAGAAAATTTCTTAAAAGTCATTTGACTTTTTTCGATGTTAAACTCTTCATACATCATCCATTCGCTCCAATGCCTGAAACATTTCCACATTCCCTGAACTTTAAAAGTGGCTTGCCGTCGAACGCTTATGAATTCGTCACCCGTCTCTTAAAGAGAGTTTTTTTGAATTAACAATTGAATTTTTGTTGCCTGGATTTTTAAAACCATAAAAATCAGAAATGTTAACAGTGATTTAAAATTACAACAACAACAACAACAACAACAACAGCACAAACAACAACAACAGCACAAACAACAACAACAGCAACAAAGCAGGTCGAGTCTGCGTGAACTTTTTAACGAAAATTAACAGCTCTATATTATTCATACCAATGAATGTTTGAGAATTGTTGGAAATAATATTTAATACAAAGAGATGAATAAAATTGAAAACGATGGAGAAATTAAAATCCGACAGAAGTTGAAAACAGAATCCAACCGTCGGGGACGTGTGGCGAATGTTGTTTGACGCGCGGAACATTGTGAGATATCGTCTGCACTTGTCCTGAGCTGTCAATCAAATGTCCAAAGTTCTTCTGAAGATCTAACGTTGACGAGAATGAAGTTGTTGTTGTTGTTGTTGATGATGTTGTTGCTAGTATTTTTGTTGCTGATGTCATTGTTGTTGATGCTGTTGTTGTTGTTGATGACAGAAATGTTGTCAATGTTGACGGTATTGGCGTGAAGATTTTGGATGTTGAGGACACCGATGATGATGTTGTTGGTGTTGTCGTGAATAAAAGAAGTGGCAATAATGTTGATAGCTTTGGTGATGTCAGCAACATTATTAGTGTTATTAATATTGATGTTATTATCGTTGGTGACGCGAGTTGTTTTTTGGATGTCTTAAATTTTGCTTTTGTGGTTGAATTTGTTGAGAATACTTTTTCAATTTGTGACGATGGTGTTGTTATTGCAGCTGCTGATGATGATGTTGATGGTTTTGTTGATGCTAATGTTGATGAGAATGTAAGAAATTTAGAAAATGTTGTTTCAAATAAAAATGAGGTTGATGATGATGACTGGAAGGTTGATGATTGCGATGATGGTGATGGTACACTAGTTGATATTGTTCTTTCTTTTAGTTTGAATGTTGGATATAAATTGCTGGAGAACCCGGTAACATTCAGAAGAGACGAAGAAGGTGATTTAGTTGCTGCTTGTAGTAATGTCATGGTAGAAGTTGATGATGATAGAGACGTCGTTAATAATGTTGATGATACTGAGGTGGTTGTCCTTGTTGAAATTGATGTCGCTGGTGTCGTCGATGTCGCTGGCGATTTTGTGGCTGGTTGTGGAGACTCATCTTGGTAGTGCAACAACACTGTTTTTGTTGATGTTGATTCTAATAGTGGTAATAATAATAACGACGACCTATTCCCTCGTTCCGTGGCGTCTGGCGAGGGACGCTCATTCCTAGCGAACGTTGTTTTATTTCTGGAGAATTTTCTTTCATTCAGTAGGTGGTCGTTTGCGAAAGTTACATCCTGTCGAAACAAGAAAAACAGATCAAATTATTTATCAGTGGACGACTCTGCACTGCTTTAAATGACGCAATTGAATTTATGGCTGATTGATATTATTAAGTTTGAATTTCCATTAAATAAGAATATTTTTACAATTATTATTTTGTAGCTGTTTATATAATTTCTATAGCTTCAAACTTTTAAGATTTTCAGATTTTTGCCTTTCTGGGTTCGTTTTACAAATCTAAACTTGCAATGTTTTTCATAAGTAAATAGTATAATGTTTAATGTAAAGTAACGAGCATCTCATGGTTTCAGACTTGCATTATTTATTTTAATACATCAGTGCCAGGTAATCCTAATTCCTTACTTGTTCTTCAATTTTTTATTTTAAATTGTAATTATTAGATTTTATTATTATAATATTTAATTATATATTGCAACAAATTAAATGCAAAAATTAAAATAAAACTCTGTCCAAAGTCCGACTACCATACACATCAAGGTTTCCATCTTCACGGTTTTAAATAACTCCAAATGGAGTTGCAAATGAATGCCCAATGGGGAAGAGGAAGTGATTAATTGCATGTGTGATTGAATAATTGAGGATTGAATGATGGTGCTGCAAGGGAGAACGATTGATTGAGTGATTGATTGAGTGATTGAGTGATTGAATGATTAATTGATTGATTGAGTGATTGATTGATAATTTAAGGGATTGAATGATGAATCGTGGTTGTCTGGTGTGTCGGCATGTTTATTTTTGATCATCCGAATTCACTTTTTACCTTCTCAGACCACAGGTGTAATGTTGGCATGCAAATTTACAAAATGATCAACATGAACGTTAAATTGCTATAGTCCAAATATCAAAATTTAAATTTTAAACAACCATAAGACCAAATTCAAATTTAAAAAAACTAACATCAAATGTGGATCAAACTTCATAATTTCATACAAGCTAACACCGATAACATAACACAACGATACAACCGACTAATAAAAACACTAACAACAACACGAACAACGACACTAACAACAACACAACATGAGGTTTATAAGACTTCAATTTAGATTGAATCCTAACTCAGTGAAGAAAATGATGAACATTTCTGAGCTTATATTCGGCATCATTGTTTACTGACTGGACACGATTTTAAATGAAATTGTTTTCTAAATTATGTTACAAATTCTGACAATGAATGGTTTCCTGAACAGTGCGATACTAAAATTTTACCTTTTATTCAATATCTCCCATAATTTCAAAATGTTATTACAGAAAAATAAAAAACCAGCCAACCAACCAAACAACCAACCAACCAACCAGCCAGCCAGCCAACCAACCAACCAACCAACCGACCATCTAACCAACTAACCAACTAGTCAGCCAACCAGCCAGCCAGCCAACCAACTAACCAACCGACCAACCAACCAACTTTTTCTTCATTTTACGACAAAGCGGTGCGATAAAAACTACGTATAAATTAAAAGAGACGTTATTCAATAAAGTTCAGTGAAATAACTTTTCAATTTTTCCTCTTAGACATAAAAATGCGGCAAAACAAAATTTTCTATAAATGATTTTTTGATCTTTTGTTGACTTCAAGCAAGATTGCAAGCAAATTTTTAGTTAACTAAAAATTTTCAAACAGATGATTCAATTCAACTCAGTGAAAACTTTGCGTAGTTTATGATAGAAAATAAACCAGTATAAAAAAATCCATGCTTTAAAAATACAAAGTATAAAATTTTGATTGCTTAGAATCTAATATTTTTAGTCAAATGCTATTTTTGAAAAAATTTTTAATATTCAATTTTTGCATTTGTAAGAAATTTTTGCGAGCGACAATAAACAAGCTACAACTGAAATATTTCAAAGAAACACGTTAAAATGATTTAAGATCCATTATTTGAGTGAGATGATAAATGGTTGGAATATGGACAATAAAGAGTTATGGTGTAGTAGAAATTTGAATGCTTACATTCACGGGATAGATCAAGCACCATAAACGTATATGAACACAATCATTGAGGAGAACAAACAACATCAGGCAAACAGACTATCACACACACACACACACACACACACACACACACACACACACAAACACCACACACACAACTTTGCACATTCAATGTGATTATAACATCAAAAAATGCCAGTTCAACAAAATTAATGTTGCAAGCAAGAAGGAACACGTAGAAAACAGCATTAACATAATGCAGACCTAACTTTCAGAAACAGACCTTTTCCCCAACAAAGCATTACCACCCAACACATCATCAACCAACACAAATGCTCAACGAACATGAAACTCAACAAATATAAAACCATCAATCAATCACATAACCAAGAAAAACAACATCAACGTTGCGACACCAACAGTGACAAAACTAACAAGTAGATTGTTGACTGTAACTTGAACGAGCGTGATGATGAGTGTCACAGCACCAGCATAAACAACATCAACATCAACATCAACAAACACAGCGCTAACACAAGCTGGTCTTATAAGCAATTCAATCTCCAGATAAAACAAATTCAAGAAATATTTCAAATTCCACACAAGCAAGTTTCTGTAGAAAATAATTTCAACACAAACGAACTTACACACGGACTGACACACGGACTTACACACGGACTTACACATAAAAGTTTCAACACGCAAAAATTATTTGAAATAACATAATATTTTTCGGATAGTAAAAAATTTTCCGACTAGAGTTAATTTATTTTTTCATTGAAATTTGAAATGGGAGACATAAGACTTGAAAAATTCCGTCTCAACATTCCAACATTAAATACGTTGTATGGTAAAACTTTTTGGCAAGTGAAGCAGTAGCACATCTGCTGACAACTCACTCACAATTAAATTAACCCTTCCAATCCTTTCATCTTGTGAACAACAAACACTAATGCTTCAAAGCTTCCTCAACCGGCCAGCCACCACTTTTTAGCACTGTCGGATTGACAGAACACAGTGTATGTACACGTGTACATCTTTACAACTTTTGCAATACACACACATACACACACACGCACAGTCTTTCTCGCTCTCTCTCTCTCGCTCACTCTCTTTCTCTCTCATTCACACACATACTCAAAACACGCACGCACAACAAACATCAGACATGTCTGTAACGTAACAAAAACTACAACAAAAAAGTAATATGATTATTGGAATGTACAAATTCCCTGAAGCTTCTAAATCCGTTCAAGAAAGTACACAACCGTCGCAAGCATCGACTCAAATTAATTAAAGTCTCCCCTTCTCTCTCTCTCTCATTATCACTACTATTAAAGGACTTTTTTTCTTATCTATGGATTGCTTATCTTACTGCAACTTAATGACAAGTCCTGAGACATTCATTCAATATCACAATGAAATGGACAGCTATTTTCAACATTTAGTCTTGCTTTGTGCTCTGCAAAAGCGTTGGTCGAAATAAACTTATTTACATTTCTCGAACGTTTTCAGATTTTTTCAGCTTGCTTCTATTGGCGGGACATGCACTTTTAGGCTGCATAACTTCTGCAAGACAACAACACGGACGACTCAAATGTTTCCAAATTATTCACAGGCTTCCTAAGTTTGGAAGAAAAATTGCAAAATGTTAATATCAACACTAACACTATTAGAGAGTTGAAAAACCCTATCATAAACATTTTAAGACTATATGTGTTGACTGAACATTTAAAAAATTAACAATATTTTTAACAGTTGCAAACGCAAATTAATAGCTACATGCTAATAAAACATTAATTAAAAACTTAAATACAAAACTTATTTAACTCTAGCACATATGAAAAAACTTTTAAAATCGAGAAGTTAATGTGGCAATGATTCATTTTCGATTCTATTTCATGGTTGCAGACGATGATTACTGAACAACTGAAGACAAGGAACAACGTATCGAGTCTGAGTTTGTAATCGTTTCAGCCAGCAATCAATCAATTGTTGTCTCTTAAATAATTTACATGCTAGCATTTAAAATTTTGCATATCTGTTGGCTTGTTTGCATTTTTTATAATGTATAGTGATGTAATGTAATGTAGTTGATGATGCCCTGTAGTTCCGCAGCGCTAGTAAATATTATTTTTACAAATTATCTGAATAATAATGTTATTTAATTTTTTAAGAACAAATAAAAACATCAAAATCTATATGAGACATAACATTTCAACGGCAGAAACTCAACAAAAATTATTCATGACTTTTTGATACTCAGATGAAATTTTTGTAGGAATTCAATATTTCGAAGCAGTTTAAAATGAATTTGGACGGAGATCCATCTTCATTGAAAAACACTCTTCATTAAAGAACTACTGCATCTCTGCAACAAGAGAATTTGATGCACGAGATGTTGCTGGTGCTACTCGTTTCTGGTTTACGGAAAATTCATCGTGGAAAATTCATCGTGGGAAAATTTATCGTGGAAAATTCATCGCGGGAAAATTCATCGTGGGGTAAAATTCATCGTTGGGTAAAATTCATCGTGGAAAATTCATCGTGGAAAAATTCATCGTGGGGTAAAATTCATCGTGGAAAAATTCATCGTGGTGGGGTAAAATTCACCATGGAGTGAAATTCATCGTATATATCGTATATAACATATAACGTATATAATATATACGTATAATATACAAATTATACTGTATTGGAGGTTATATCAATAGGCAACGTATAGCATCCATGCTTATTAATACTATCATTTGTATACCCTTAGTATGGTATATAAAATAGAAAATATATACAAAGGTGGACCGCGGACGTCGGACGTGTCTGAGTAAGTTAAGTAAAAGTCTATAATAAAATACTCTATGTGAAGTGTGTCAGAAATGAGGAAGTAGTTTTTGCATCACGATTCGCTAATCTTTGTGTAAAAATGTCACTAGAATTCGTGTACAGTGAAAAAGGAAAAAGAAAATTAATTGACTCAGGTCACTTGTTCGTAAAAGATGCGGTTACAGAAGAAAAAACTTTCTGGAAATGTGATCAATATCAAAATCTTGTATGTCGGGCACGTTTGCATACTCGTCATGACAAAATTGTAAAGAGAGTCGGTGAACATAACCACGCAGGAAATGCTGCTCGGGTCGAAGTTGTTAAGGTTGTGAATCAAATGAAAAATGATGCTAGGGAAACGCAGGATGTTCCTCAACGAATTATCACCAATTCTTTTATTGGCCTTTCTCAGGCGGCTTCTGGCCTAATGCCAAATATTTCTATACTTAAAAAGACTATTCGAAATACCAGGCGTCTTGCTGATCGTGCACCACCGAATCCAAATTCTTTGGTGGACCTAGTCATCCCTAATGACTATCAAATTACACACCATGATGATCAATTTCTTATGTTTGATAGCAATGATGGTCTTAACCAGTGGAAGCTCAACCTGTTTTAGACTATTTTGAGGACACTTGGATTGGAAGACCTAATCGGCGTCAACAACGCAGACCTCCACGTTTTGCATACGACCTGTGAAACTGCTACAATGCTGCTCTCAATGGCTTGCCAAAAACCAACAATTTCTGCGAAGGGTGGCACAGAGCCTTTAGTGAGCTAATTGGAGCTAGCCATCCAACAGTATGGAAATTCATTTCATCCTTGAAAGACGAACAAGCTTTAAATGAAGGAAAAATAGAACAGTATGTTGCTGGTGCCAATCCGCCTCCAAGCAAAAAGGTTTATCGAGACACGGCAGTTCGAATTAAACGTATAGTACAAGATTACGATAACCGTGATAGAATGGATTATCTTCGTGGATTGGCCCATAATTTTAACTTCTAGGCGCATCTCTCTTGACATACTTGCAAATTTTCATTGACATGGTTGAATTTCATTGACATTTTCATTGACATGATTTCATTGACATGGTTGCAAAATAAACACATTTTTGAGTTGAGTTGTTTTAAATTTCATTACAGAAAAGGTTAAGGATAGAAAAGTCCTCAAACTACGTATTTATAATCTACAACATTAATGGGGTGTGTAAGGTGTGTAATTGCAAAAACTGTTTTTCACAATAAATTTTACCCCACTATGAATTTTCCCCCTCGAAGAATTTTCCCCCACGATGAATTTTCCCACGATGAATTTTCCCCCACGATGAATTTTCCCACGATGAATTTTCCCCCACGATGAATTTTCCCACGATGAATTTTCCCACGTTGAATTTTCCCTCACGATGAATTTTCCCACGATGAATTTGCCACGATGAATTTTCCACGATGAATTTTCCGGACACCCTCGTTTCTGGCATCATTCTGTTGTTGGTCCGTTTGGCGAATAATGCGTTAGATATCCAATGTTTCAATATTGCTTCTATGAACATTCTATCAGTCAACTACTTGTTTCTGTTTTCTTCTTACAACTTCTTTCTTTCACGTTAAAATCGTCAGTTTATAATTTGAGTATAATAAAAATTGAATGCATTGATAAGACTAGAGTTGAACGGATTTCAGTGTTTGACAATATATTAAATTAAACAAACCTTTATAAATTAAGTAATTTAAAAATTGTGTTGCATTTGTTAAACAAACTTCTTAAAAAAACTTGTTAATAAAATTAACAATCAAAAAATAGTGTTACATGGCAGCAGTGCAGTAAATAGCCAGTGCATCTTTACAGAACGTGAAGGCCTGCACATGAAACGTGTTAGATCATTTTCCCCCACCACTTAATATCTCCAAATTACGACGAGTCAGCAACTGCTGCTTATTTCTCTTCAGATCATATTTTTCACGTTCAAAATGCAAAAAAAGTTACCAGCTTGTCTAAAAACCAATTAATTTTGAAAACTAGACAAGAACAAAGTAGGAGCTTCGCTCTCCTGTTGCCCAGGACTCCACACCCTCACAACTGGCACTGATTGCAATGCAAAAAACAACGCATAACTCAAAATGTATTCTACTTTTATTACATAAAAAACAATTTCAAGTATTTTTTAGAAAAACTGTAATTGAAGAGAAGGGCAAATATGTGAAATAAATTGACAGTTATTATTGAAAGGTCGGCAATTGTTGCGCGCGACACAACTTGACATAAAATATGGCAAAGACAAAAAGACAGATCAGTCGTTATTTTCGCGGCAGACCATGAGCAGAGCAGCAAGCAGGATACATCATTTGAGTCGATGGGCGTCAGATACATTGAGATTTTGTGGACATCAGCATTCAGCACTGTGGTGGGCCTCATAAATAAGTGCTCAGATTGAGACCCCTACCCCGTACGCAATATGTACGAACACATTTGTGCGTATGTGTTGGCATGTTTGTTTTACTGGTTGTCTGTTTTTCTTGCGCATGTGTTGTTTATAACGTATAAACCAGAAAAGTAATTTAGTGAATGATCATTGGCTAACAAGCATGGCAAACCACCTTATGATGAATGCTGTGTCAGAAACTCGAGAGGACTGCAGACTAATGGACGTGTTTATCCACGGGACAACATGGAAAGTCAGGTTGGTCAAAAATTGTTTTCAGAGATCCTCCACAAACACCACCGTAGTGTCGTGCAATGGCACGCTGTAACTAACAACGATTCGCTGCAGTTGTTGAAGAACCTTGCAAATGAATAAACAAACCACATCGCCATTAGGCTCTCAATATTTCATTTCTTCAGCATCGATCACATCATTCCTCAACATTAAAACAACTATATATATATATATATATATATATATATATATATATATTATAAACCCGTATATATATTATATACTAGCATATATATATATATATATATATATATATATATGTATATATATATATACAATTATTGATGAATTGATATATATATATATATACACATGTGTGTGCGTGTGTGTGTGTGTGTTGTATACATATACATACATACATACATACATACATATATCAATATTTAAGTGTAGAAACTTTTCTGAGTTTTCTATTTCCTCGAAAGCCTTATAAATTTGTATTAAAGCCGTCTGATATTAGAAGATCGTACCATTCAATGTAACGCATGAATCATTACATCATAAATATACAGAATGTCGTAATAATTAAAACGATTGATGCATTGATTTAATAAAATGCTTGAAAATATATCTCTTAATCGCATTTATGTAAAACTGAACTTCTTTTAAAATAAATTCTTTGATCGGTTCTTTACCTTTTCATGCACATGAAATTTGAACTGCCTTAAAAAGAGAGTTTTCACAAATCAAAAAAAGTTATTATCGGACTTTACAAAGTTTCAACAAAATTGAATTGCAAGAAAGATTGAAAACATCGAATGTAAGATTTTTTAAAAAAACCTTTGAAAAAAATAAAGTTATTTGCTAAATGTCAAAATTGATAGTTATGTAGGTCTTAAGCAGTTAAGTGGCGAAACCAGAAATCTGAAATATGCCGTGAGTGGGGCTTGAATTTGTTTGTACCGAGCTGGCGTCTTTCTTTTTTTGATTATCATAAAATTTATAACAAATTTTGCTCTTAAATGCAGTGGTTTTGTTTACAATTTGACTTATGGCTAGAATAGCTTTTGGACCAAATTTCTACGCCTCTGTTGCAGTTGCTCATTCAGCTTGTTTAATGTGGCTGTTTTTTGAATAAATTGGTCAATATCATTATTTCAGAGGCTATAGAAAAAGATTGACTTACAATAAAATTGATTAACCATATTTTGTTCAATTGTATTTCAACTTTGTGAAAAAAAATATTTTATTAAAAATTGTCATTTAACTGATGTTTGAACTAAAACGTAAGTCTACAAAATGTAGAAACTATCCCTGATTCAACCAAGTGAAGTCTGCTTGCTTCTGAAGTCTCATTGAGTTTTCAACTATCGAATTCACAACACAATTACTCTTCACCGACAACCGCTTTCTCTTCTACGGTATCGCTAAAAAACATTCAGCAGAAAGGAAAAAAAATTAATTAAATGTATTTAAAAGTAAATTTAAAGAATAAATTTTTAAATTTAATCTATTCCAACTCCATGTGTGTGAACGATCTTATGAATGTAGGATTCATGTTTTTAAAAAAAAATCTTGAAAGTGAAATATTTAAATATTTAATGTTATCATTTTGCAGCGTGAAAGCAATTACTTTTCTTTCTTTTATAACCATTTCACTGAGACTATTAATTTTTGTGTTTCATTGACTTATTTTAATGTTTTATTTACATGTGCGTATGTATGAATGTGTATAAATGTATGTATATACATGTGTCAATTTTTATGTTTATGTTTCATTGAATAACTACAATATTTTGTATGTGATATTAGGACATATTTATAATTAAGTTAAGGGCGGTCTCCACAATTATTTAGTTACCTTTTGATCTCCTGAATTTTTTGTTTTAATAAACTTAAGAAGAATTGCTTTTATATGATAAATCAGGTTTGGACAAAAAACTACAAACAATTTATTTAGGAGAAGAAGAAGAAGGCAGTCGGGAAAAGATAATGAAGATAGTAGAATGAAAGGAAGATACATTAGATAAATCTAAATGTAGCTGCGTGAAGGAGAGCCAGTATTTCAATCAATTTGATTGACGCATGAATATTTGATGAGGTTCAAAGTCATGATGAAGATTTTTGAAAGTGCAACACGTGACTGCAGCGAAGATTATGATTGGATCGTGCGGTGCACGTCATCGTGAACACATTATTACGTCATTTTATTATCACTTTTTCGTTCAATTTCCATTCATATCTTTTTTTAAATTTAACAGAGTCTTGTATTGAATTAAAGAGAAAATAAATATTGTATAACAAAAATGTATCGAATCTTAATGAGTTTTATGATAAATTTCTATATCGAAATATACAAAAAGAAGTTATTAATTAGAAAATATACCGAAGCAAATCTACAACAGACTCATCCTTTTTATGAACATCCTCCTCATCAGAGTTTACATCCTCAATAATCCGGACAGGAAGACACACACACACACGCTCATGCAATGGGATAAAACAAATAGAAGTGTGACTAAGCTTCGAGCACAGTTTATATGCACTAGTCAGAAAAATTATATTATAAACATCGCTGGACATTGTCAGTGTACATATTACAGGACAAAAAATGCTGCCATGTCTGAATACAATGCATACACGTTATTTTACAACCGACAGGATCAATTTTTGTGATACTTTACTGGTGGATAATTCATATGCTGTCAGTTTCATTTGTGACCAACGCATATGTTGTTGCATGTTATTGCGTGTCTAACCTCATTTTCCCGTTGTAAAAAGTGGGCAAACACACATTTTCGAAACTTGTACGTTATTGTTTTTACAGTAAATTTTTTAATGAAATAATTTACTTGAAAATCTCTTGAAATTCTGATTCGGCCATGTTTCAACTGGCAATAGATTTCTCCAATTGAGCCTCTGCAACATTTGTTTTCTATTTGCAAAACATTTGCAAAATTTATTTACAGGTCAGTGTTTTTTGCATGATCAATAAACTGATCTTGTGTTTTTGTGGGAAAAATTATTTTTTATTTGTCAATTATATAGTTTAATAAAATGTTAAAATTTTTTATTATACTTATCTGTGAGTATAGCCAGATCACACAATCGTTCCATCATTTGAAAAATAACCAACAAACATGTTTGAGCAATTTGGCAAATGAAAATTGCTATAAAACCGCTTGGTTTGGGGTTTATTTAAAATAATGAAAATTTATTGTCGTTATAAGTTGCATGTATCACTCATTTTCTATGTTGAATTGCATGTTGAAGATCGTACCTACATGGGTAGGTCTGCACCGCTGATTGCGAATTGTGACATTACAGCGAAATTTATTCCACTATCTTCTTATCAACAACAAAAAATAGTCCAGTTAACTTGGTAATGCAAGAAAATGTTTTTAAATAAGTGATCTGGTGATGTATGAATGTATGAATGGTGATGTATGAATGTATGAATGTAAAAATGTATGAATTTTAAATCTGGATTGCATGGTTTGATGGATTTTGTGCTAATTTCACCTCTGTAATGTTGATGAATTGTTTAATTGCTTCAATCGCTACAATAAATTAGAAAGTTATTTGTGCAATTACTAATAATTTTTATCTATACAAAATTTATTAAATTTTAACCAAGGTTTTTTTATGAAAATTTAAACATCAAAGATCTTAGAGAAACTTTGCTCGGCTAGGGCGACTTCGCAGAAGATTTCACAACAATCTTGATATTTTAGTTGTTAGTAGTATGGAAAGCAATGTAATAAAAATTGAAGAACCTATTTTTTCAACTGTTTAATAGATTTAAATGATATTTAAAGCCTTCAGGGGATTTAGATCTGCAATGGAATATTTTTGGCAAAAAAGGCTATTTCTTGCTTGTGGAAAAAACTAACAGTTGGTAGGAAAAATTTTGCTCGTGTTTGTCGTCGTTTTTTTGAAAAAGTTTCCATCATATTTAAAGAATAATTAAAAATCAGAAAAATAAAAAACAAATAATTATGAAAACTTTAAATGTGTTTTGTCATCAGCAGTCAATTGAAACATGATCTTCAAAGAGCGTCACACCGCTGAATTAATAACAGTTCCCAATAAAGAAATGTCTTCACGTCAGGAATTAACACACGTGATAATTATTGTCGTACGTCATGACATGACAGGCTTAGTGCGACACGCGGTAAGGAGATAATAACAGGTGAACATGCAATATGAGCACAGATGCTTCAAAAAGACAAAGCCAGCAACAAAAACAAACAAACAAACCGACATACACGAAGACAGACATACATGCAGACAGACATGCATGCAGGCAGACATACACGCAGACAGAAATACATGCAGACAGGCAAGCATACGAACAAACAAATGAACGAACGAATGAACAAACAAAGGAACGAACAAACAAAACAACAGATATCGAAACAAACGAACGAACG